AGGTTCTACATACAAGTGGAATCATATACTATTTGTCTTTTGGTGACTGGCCTATTTCACTTAGCATAATGGCCTTAAGGTTTATCTATGTGGCTTATGGTAGGATTTCCTTCTTAGGCATGTATCACATTTTCGTTATCCATTCATCCCATCAGTGTACTCTTGGAATGTTTCTACCTTTAGCCTGTTGTGACTAATCCTGCATGCACATGGGTGTACAAATACCTCCTTGAGACACTCCTTACAGTTCTTTTGGGTCTACACCCAGAAGCAGAGTTGCTGGACTCATAAGGTAATTCTGTTTGTAATTTTTTGAGGAACTGTCACTGTTTGCCACAGCAGCTGTACCATTTTGTGTTCCCACAGTGCCCTGCTTCTGAGTGTGATTTATAAGGGTTCTTCCCTACCTGGCATGAGGCTTCTTCCCTGAGGGCTGAACTTGCATTTCTTCCTCTCCCTCCCCTCAGCCTAGGTACCTAAGTCTGGGCTTAGCCTTCTGTGGGTACCTTGTGCCCTTGGACCTACTGGTTAGGAGGGAGGGAGAGGTCCACCCAGCTGGAAAGTTCCATTGCAGAGGAAATGTTGTGCTCTCCACCTCTGCATCTAGGGCCCAGGGCTCCAAGGGTGGGGCTTCTTGGAAAGATGCCCATCTGTGATGTGATGAGTCATCTTAGCCTGAAGAGTCAGGGACCCGCCAGGGTGTTGAGCCCAGGGCTAAACCAGATCAGCTTGCCTCCAAACCAAAAGTTCCAACTTAATGAAAAAGCAAGTACTGTTCTTGAAAGGGGCCCTCCCTTGGCTTGTAGAGCTGGGTGTTTTCACAGAAAGGCCCCTTTGCCAGTGGGACTCGAGAGGCAGTACCCTGGGCTTCCTGGCAGCCCCTGGCTTCCTGCCCACTTACAGGGCTGTGTGACAACCCCTGGGGTCCTTTGGGGGCCAGGCTGAGGAGCAGCCCGTCTCATCTTGGATCTAGTGTTGTGGTTTGGCCACTGGTGCAGAAACGCTCACAGGGCAGAGGGTAAAGGGACCCAAGGGCTAGAGTGGGTTTCCCATCAGATATTTGTGGACAGGAAAATGGACCTTCGTGGGAGTCAAAAAGCAAATGTAAGGTCAAGAAGCCCCTTTTTATGGGCAGAACTAGATGCCTAGACTGTGACCCTCATTAGGAAAAGCCATTGCCAGCTCCAGGAAGCTTTTTGGTTGTATGTGTATTGGAGATTATTTCACAGAGGACCCCCTTAGTGACCATAGCTCTTGTACTTCGATCTTTCAGTTCTCTGCTCTCACAATTTCTTCCTTCAGAGAAGGCATTCTATCCATTATTTTTGATCAATGTTCATACAGTGAGGTACATTGATCTTAGGTGTATAATTTGGTGAGTTGGACAGGTGTAAATACCCATGTGACCAGTACCCCACTAAAGACAAAGAACATTGCCATCACCCCAGAAGTTTCCTGCAGGCCCTTTTCCAGTTGGTTCTCGCTCTACCCCCATCCTCAGCCCCCCGGCAATGATTGGTGATTGGTTCATTTCTATTACTACAGATTATATTGGCTTTTTTTGAATGTCATGTAACTGAAATCCTATAGCATGGACTTTTTTGATATCTGGTTTCTTCTGCACAATCTGATTTTTTGGAGATTCATCCATGTTGTATGTATATCAAGAGTTTGTCCTTTAGTTTATGTCTGAGTGGTGTTCCATTGTATAAATATACCACAGTTTGTTTATAAATTCAGCAAAAAACCATTTTGTAAGTGGAGCAGGAGAAAGCCCGCGGGCTCTCTCCTCTGCATAAGTGAATGAGTGCATTCAGCTCTATATCCATCCACTCACCAGTCACCAGGCCCTGCTCTCCCTGGGTGCCAGGAGCAATCAGGAATGGGCAGAGAGGATGGTTCCAGGGTAGGAAAAAGGCATATGCAAAGGAGATGCAGGGAAAACGTGCTGCTGGTTCTGAGGTCGGGAGGCTTACGACGGCTTCAGAGAGGAGGTGGTTTCACTGCGAGTTTTCCAGGAGGACGAGACTGAGAATTTCCAGAGGAGCATGGCAGAGAGGCCCCTGCTGGGTGCAGGGGGAACAAATGAAACGGTGGACAGTGGAGGCTCCACTGACAGATGTTACTCAGTTCACCACCTTGCAGTGGCCAGCCCACTGGAGGCAGCCCGAGCCGGCCAGGCGGCTGGCATCATCCATCCCAGGTCTGGGCCCAGCCTAGGGGCAGGAAGGAGCCCAGCTGGCAGCCTGTCTCTCACGTAAGCCACAGAGTGACCGTGTTGAAACAGATCCACTGTAGGGCTTCTGGAATGTCTGCATCCTCCCGCCGTCTGCCCTTGGTCTCCCAGGCCAGGCCTCTGAACAGTTGGTTTGTCCCACCTTCCTGCGGGGTGGACAGGCCCCGTGGCTAGGGAGGAGGGGCGGGGCCAGCACTAGCAGTGAGCAGTGGTGCCTGCCTTCCGTCTTCTTTCTGCGTCTCCTCTAGGACTCCCACTAGTCCTCTGCCCCGTTCAGCGCTCGCGAGTGAGGAGCTTTTCCCTCCTGGTCATGAGTTATTTGGCAGGAGGCATGGTGACATTCAGTGACCCTGGTCACTGAGTCTTTGTGTTGAGCAAGGGCCTTCATGTTCTGTGCCTGCCTTCGCCCGGGCCGAGTCACCCCAACCTTTGGACCCGTTCACGCCCCAGCCTGGCAGAGGACAAGGTCACTAAATCCATATGAGTTGGGATCTAGCCAAGCAAAACGGTAATTCCTTACCTTGTGTTTGCAGGGCACTTTGCACTCTGTCAGGCAGGATCAGGCTTGCCGTGTCTTCTGCCAGCCGGCCGGTGCTTGCTGAGTGCCCACCCAGTCGGTAGAAAGATGAACGTGAGATGGTTGTGCCTTTAAAAGCGTACGGTCTAGAATAAAAAAAAAAATTATAGCAAAAAAAAAAAAAAAAAAAGCGTACGGTCTGACTGGGCAAGCGTGCGAAGAAATAAGTATAAGAAATGGTGGGGCAGGAGTATGTCAAGCATAGACTGGGGCCCCAGGAGGGAAGGGTTTGTCATACCAGGGTATATTAGGAGGGGCTCCACAGAGGAGGCAGTATTTGGAGGGGCAGAAGGTAAGTGGTGATTTGGGGTGGACCTAGGGGATTAGGTGGGGGTGGGGGGTGCATTCCAGGCAGGAGGAAAAACTTGAACAAGGTCAGCAGTTGGAAACAGGAGGTTGGCTGTGGATGCAGCAGCTGTGGTGTCTTAGCTTGGGCTGCTATGACGAAGTACAGACTAGGTGGCTTATACACAACACACATTTATTTCTCACAGCTCTGGAGGCTGGAAGTCGGAGATCAGGGCACCAGCATGGTTGGGTTGTGGTGAGGACCCTCTTTCGGGTTGCAGGCTGCTGACTTCCTCTGTGATCACGTGGCAGAAGGGGTGAGGCAGCTCTCTGGGGTCTCTTTTATAAGGCTACGAATCCTGTTCATCACCTCCCACAGACCCCTGCCTCTAATACCATCACCTTGGACACTAGGTCTTCAACATAGGACCTGGGGTCTGGGGGCACAAACATTCAGCCTGTAGCACATGGCAAGCGCCAAGGATGGCCCGGTGACAGGGATGGAATCCTAGAGGGGCTGGTATGGGGCACCAGGAGTTTGGACCTCACCCTGTAGCACTGGGGACCCCTGAAGGGTTGAAGCAGTGGAGTTCTGGAAGGATCACCCCGGGAGCAGTGTGCAGGACGCATTAGAACAAGACTGGAGGCAGGGAGGCCAGGGAGGCTGATGTGGTCATCCACTCGAGAGGTAAAGCCTAAAATGAGGGAGGCAGAGAAAGGGAAGGGAAGTATTGAGGGCACGGTCATCAGTGGGCACAGGGCAGCAGAGAGCTGGGGGTTCTACTCCTACGGCTTCTCCAGTAAGTTCATCCTGAGCGCCTGTTGCATGTAAAGTACCGTGTGGCACGTGAAGGTGAGAGAGACCTGGCTGCTGCCCGTGAAGAAGCACCAGTCAGGACAGCACTCTCTAGTCGGGTCTGTGTGTTAGTCACATGTGACGGAAACACAGTCGGGACTGACTTGACGCAAAACAGGGTGGGGTGTTCCGGGCGCGTATACTGGGACGTTTCGGGGGTAGAGCCTCGGGCAGGGTGCTCAGACAGTGTCTGCCCTCTTCGGGCCGGTCTCATCTTGACTCTAGATTTTTCTTCTCCATGACCATGAATTTATTCAGTCTTTTTGTCTTGAAAAAAAAAAAACAAAACTGATGCAAGTATAGCTGTTTTCCTTTATGGCATCCACCGCTAACAGGCATAACAGTGCTTTCCCTCCTTGGCTTCTGACCCTTTCTGGACTCTTTCTTTTTTGTTTTTGCTTTAGAGCAATGGTTTTACTTTATTTTACTGAAAAAAAAAATTCGTTGTGATAAAAAAAAAAATGACAGAGTGGGTGCCTTGGGGGCAGAGGCGGCACCTGTCTGCTTGCAGGCTGACCCGTGTGTGAGTAACTTAGGCGAGGACCAAGCTGGATCCGTGGAAGGGTGCCTGGGAAGTGCGGCCTAGCTGCAGCCTCTGTCGTGTGCAGACAGCAGGGCCTGCAGAAGGGTTCACAGTTTGCCCACGGGGGGAGAGAAGAGCTGGGTGTCAGCACCCGCAGTACAGCGTAGAAACGGCGAGTGCCGGGGCAGCGGGTGTCTCCGGCCAGCGACTTGGAAGGAGGGTCAGGAATGGTTCCTGTAGGAGCTGGCCTGGAAGGGTGGGCAGGAGTTGGACGCGGGGGTGCCACGCTGTGGTTCCGTGCGGGGCTTGGGGGTGCCCGCCGTCAGCCCGCAGCTTGACCCCAGCCACCACCAATACCACCGCTTTAGCTTCCTCCTTCCCTGCCGCCGACCTCGCCCCCCACTGGCTGCTCCTGAGCCTGGGTTTCCCCGGGGTGAGCCCACCCCTGGGCCCGTGAGCAGGGCCTGGGGTCGGGGGGGCCAGGGCAGGGCAGGTCTGAGGTGCTGTCCTCCTCCCGCAGGCCTCTCCCTGGAACGCCTGCCCAACTCCATCGCTTCCCGCCACCGCCTGACTGAGAGGGAGGAGGAGGTGATCACCTGCTTCGAGAGGGCCTCCTGGATCGCTCAGGTGTTCCTGCAGGAGTTGGAGAAGGTGAGCTGAGAATACGGCACTCCGCTTCTAGCTGCCTCCATGGAGCGCCTGTCACAGCAGGCCCCCACTAAGCCTGTGCATCGCCCTTGTGCATATTGGGAAACGGCACCCTCCACCCCTCCAGTGCCCCTCCGCCTCAGTGGTTGGAAAGCTCCTCGCAGTAGACCTATTCTGTCAGAACGAGACCCTTCGCCTCCAGCAAACAGATTTAATAAACGAGTCTGCACCAGGGAGCCCAGAGCCTCCTGGGTGAGCTCGACTTGGACGACCAAATGTGACAGCCTATCTGCGCCCGTTAAACTTACGTAATCCTCACCACAACTCTGTGAAGTAGGTATTGTATTTATCCCCGTCTAGTAGATGAGGTTTTTGGTTTGGTTTGGTTTTGTTTTTAAGATTTTATTTTCATTCATTTGACAGAGAGAGAGCACAAGCAGGGGGAGCGGCAGGCAGAGGGGAGGCCTTGGAGCCCATTGTCCGAGCCTTGCAGAGGCCAGCAGAGGCCAGCCAGCCGGGGTCTGGAAGTCCTCAGGCCTCCCCTTCTCCCCACTCCCCCTTGCGGGAGGCCTGTATGAATTGTTTGCAGGCCAGAGTTGTCGTGTTAGCAGTATACTGTGATGTTACCCCAGTTCTTCCCTTCTGGGGAGCCCTTGGTTTAATGGGAGGAGGACAGACAGCTCAATTTCACAAGGATACCACAAATGGTCACTGAGTTCCTGCTTTTGTGTCAGGCAGTACTCTGAGTACCTTACAGCCATTCTCGAATTTAACCCTCACACCCACTGGCTGGGAGAGGCCCTGGTGTTCCTATTTCCCAAGTGAGAAGCTCGGGTTTGGGGAGGAGTTCAGACAGCTGCTAAGTAGCATGGGCAGGATTGGAACCCTGGGAGTGTGGCTCTGATCACTCGTAGGGGAGAATTCGGGGCTGGTGCCTAGACATTCTGTTCAGTAGACAGTTAAAAGGCACTAGAAGGCAGGTGCCACGGCAGAGGCCCCCCGGGGTCGGTGTCATGAGCTGAGAGTCAGAGCCTAGAGCCTCACCTACTTCGGCAAGTGCCAAAATGTTAATCCAGCACCTGTCTTGTGACAGGCCTTTTTGGAGGAGTCATCCTCCAGAGCTGGGTTTCTCAGCCCCAGCACTATGGACATTGGGGCCAGATCAGTCTTTGCTGTGTGGGGCTGCCCTGTGTATTATAAAATGTTCAGCAGCATCCCCAGCCTCTACAGATGCCAACAGCCCCCCGCCTCCCAGCCAAAACGGGGTGACAACCAAACTATCTCCAGATATGCCAAATGTCCCTGGAGGGTAACATCGTGCCCCTGTTGAGTGTCACTACCCTAGAGTCCCTCTGCCTGTTTGGATTTTAGGAGGAAGGAAGAAGTGATTGGGGGACTCAGGGAAAACAGCACTCGAGCACATTCCCTGGCAGAAGTCCACTCGGAGACTTGGCGTGGTTGAATTGACCTCTGCTGAGGTCATGTGGATCCCTGCTAGACAGCAGTGTTTCAGAAGACCTTCCCATTAGAATTGTATACGGTGTAGAGAAAACTTTCATGAAATAGTCTCCCATTCAGTCAGAAGCCTAGGCTTTCGACTTTTAAAGGGGGTTACGATGATGGGCTGTGGTTTGCAGGGCCGGAATCAGGGCCCTGTGGCAGTGGGCTGACAAACGGGCCCTGGGAGCTGGTTATCTCGGGTCAGGGGAGGGCAGGCGGTGGAACCCTGTGCATTCTCAGGAATGCTGTGTGTCCCTCCTACGACCCAGCCCCAAGCTCCAAGGAACTAAGAAGCTCTCTTAAAGATAAGGTGGATGGCTCATTGATTTGTTTCTTGGATCAGGGAAGGGAGGTGGCATAGGAAAGGCAGGCCTATCTTGGTGGGGCTGGATGATCCTCTTAGAGCTGAGGCTTGAGGACAGGTCAGTTAATAACACAATTGCTGCTCAGGTTTTCCTGGAACCTGGGGTCTTAGCCGTGGGGCTATTCTGACATCCCGTGGTTATATGACAGGAACAGCGCCTGGTATATGGTAGTCACTCAAGGGTTTGTTGATTGAGTGAACCAAGAAGTCGTAGAAATAGCCTGAGCCTGTAACTGGCCAGACCTAAGTTTGAGGTTTAGGTGCGTGCTGGCTTTGTGACCTCAGGCACATTCTGAGCCTCAGTTTCCACGTCTATGAAATGCAGACAAAACCAGCTTTGCGGGGCTGTTGTGGGCATCAGGCATTTGGAGGAGGAGAGCGTGTTTCAGATGTATGTTAAACAAAAGCAAGTTAGATTGGGTTTGGTCTGAGAAGTGCACCGCGTGCCTCTGAGGCGGCTCGGGACGGGCGCTGGTGATGGGGCCGCCGGATCTGCCGGGGCTGACTCTCACCCCAGCCCCTCTGACTCAGAACTCTGAGACAGTGGCTCTCTCCGTGTTCCCCTTCCCAGATCACAAATAACACCACGGCACGGCACCTGAAAGGCTCTCACCCGGTCGACTATGAGCTCACCTACTTCCTGGAAGCCGCCCTCCAGAGCGCTTACGTGACAAACCTGAAGAAGGGGTAGGTCACTGGCAGCTGAGTGGGAGCTGGACATTTCTCTCTGGGCCGGGGGTGCTCCTGACGCTCGTCACGTTAAGTCTGGCCTCTCTGATCTGGGTGTGTGCTGGTGTGTGCTCTCTCAAGAGGATGGTGGGGGCTGACATGTTCCCAGCTTGTCAGGCTGAGGTAGGTGGAGGCACACACCTGGGGAGGGGGGCAGTCCGGCCCCAGCTGGACCCCTGGCCTGGAGGAGGCCTGTACGCCCCTTCTCTGTCTCCATTCTACCCTCACTGTCAGACAAGGGGATACTGCTCGAGTCCCTGTCTTCTGAATGGTAAGAACAGGGTAGAAGGGTCCCCACCAGGAGGCAGGCTGTCACCCTGCTCTGGGGGGAGAATACCTCCCAGAGCTCCTGATCCATCCCAGCTGCTTGGAAAGTCAGAAGCATTATCATCATTTATTTGTATTATTTTTCATGACAGTCCCCAGCTGGGTAAGCTGCTGGCCCAAGCTTGAACTTCACACCTTTTGTTTTTGTTGTTTAAGTGTTTCTTGCGACAGGCCAGGGAGGCAGGGGTGTCCCCGTTGGGGACGTGTGGACCAGGAGGCCCGGAGAGCCCTGGGCTCAGCCCACCGTGTGGCTGGGGGGGGTGGGGGCTGGAGCTCATCACGGGGACCCCGGGAAGCATGCCGCCTCTGCTCTACCTCCACCACTTGTGTTCTTCTTTCCTTTTGTGGTTGCTGAGCTTCAGTTTCAGAGACGCAGTGGCCCGGTGGGCCGGTTCCTGTTTTTGCTGCCCAGGCAACTGCCACCTGGCTACTTCTCCCTAGCTGCAGCCCCGGCCCCTGCCCCTGCCCCGGGGCACCCTTTGGTCTGCAGGTGCGGCTCTCGGGGCTGAGGGGGTATGTGAAGAGATGCCCCCTCGGCGGAACCTTTGCAGCACGGGGCTGCCGCCGCCTGTTTTTACAAATAAGGTTTTATTGGAACATAGCCACACGAACTATGGACCTACTGTCTCTCACCCAGAGTGGAATAGATAGCAGATCCTAAAATATTTACTCCCTGGCCCTTTACAGAAAAGTGTGCTGCGTGTTTAAGAGGCCCTCCCTCCCAAGGCCACCTGTAGGCACAAAGGGTAGAGGTCCTTTTCTGTATGGCACACCCTAGGAGTAGACTTCTGGGATTCCGGTGTCCCCTTCGTTCTTGCGTTTAACAAATATTCATTGTCTGAATACGGGCTGAGTCTGCGGGAGGCCCTTGCTAAGCGCTTCGCCTCGTGTGTATTTGGTCCTCCCGATAGCCCTCTGTGGTATGGGCTGTTGCATCCCCATTCTACGGGGGACGTGGGGGCACAGAGAACATAAGTGACCTGCCCAGGGCAGAGCCAGGACTCCACATGCAGGACCCAGCTGACGCTCCTACCCGTTAGGCTGCCCTGCCCACGGCAGAAACTGCGGGGGTAACAAGTCCCTGCTGCTGCCGCCAGGTGCGCCCACCTCCTGTGTGATTGCTCCAAGTGTACGCCGGCTTGGTAGGTGTGGCCTCAGCTTCCGGTTGGAAGAGTTTGGGGGGGCGCCTTGGTCATCTGGAGGTCGCCAAGGCAGGGCCCAGGAGTGGGAGGCCACCCAGCAACCCTGGGCAAGTTCCTCTTCTCTCCCCCACCCCCGGCTCCGCTTCCTTCCTCGAACGGGGGGCTTCTGTTTGTCCTGCATTGGGGGAGGGGGTGCGGTGAGGGTCCAAGGAGAGGCAGGAATGAAAAGCACCTTGAGTACTGAGCTGAGAGCACAGGGGGTGCTGTGAACCCCTGCTCCACTGCGGTCCCCTCAGGGCTGCCCGCTCCCCTTCCCCACACCACACGTGTTCCAGGTGTGACGAGGTTAAGGTGACCGTCAAGGACAGCCAGGAGGGAAGGAGGGAGAGAGCCGGCAGTTATCAAATACCTGCTGTGTGCATGTGCTCAGCGGACGGTGTCCCGTGAAGGAAGTCAGGTGACCCCAGGTCACTCGAGAGGGGACAGAGCCTCAACAAGGTTGAGTAACTTGCCCCACCTCACCCGCTGGGATTCCAGCTTCGGATCCAAGTAGCCTCGAAACCCATGTAGTTTCCAGTTTTGGGGTGGGGGGTGTGGGGGAAGGACAGGGCCCTGGTGATGGTTGGGCTGATCCTGGCTACGCTGACTCAGGGCTCTCTCTGCTCCTCTGGGACCCTGAGTCACCATTCTCAGCGGGTGGCTCCTCTTCCCGAAGCCGGCCCCACCCCTCCCCGAGTGGGCCTCTTCCTCCCTGTCTGTGTTCTGCACACTCTGGCTGTGTGTGTGTGTGGGTGTGGGTGGTGCCACCGCAGTGGACAGAGCATTAGCCAACCCTCACCCCTCCAGGAGAGCTCAAGTAATTCCAGTTACCGTTCTGTTCCTGTCGCTCTGCTCCCCACCCTGCGTCCTCTTTTCCTTCTGAAGCCCAGATTTTAGTCCTGAAAGACAGGATGCTGACTCTTCTCCTCCCCCTCCCCCAGCCCCCCGTGCCTCCCAAATAAAGAGCAATGGAAACTGAATCATTTCTTTCCAAGCAAACAGCCCAAACATTTGAAAGCTTGAGTGTTGAGCAGCAGTCCCCGGGACACATGGCAACAACTCAGCCCCTTCGTCCATTTCCTGTGCCCGCATCCAGCCCAGAGGTGGCCCGGGAATGTGACAGATATTTTTAGAGCAGGGATTGTGGCCCCATGTGCTTGGCTGGACTTTAAAGAATTTCTATCCCCCTTTTCTCTTAACAGTAGCTAATACTTGTTGAATACTTACTGCATGCCAGGCAGAATCCTATGAAGAATTAATAATGTCCCCACTCACTGAGGAAAGGAGAGGAGAAGTAACTTGCCCAGAGCCAGCAAGCCGATGCTGAGCGGGGTCTGTCCCCGCACAGTCCCGGGCCTTGCCTACCACCCACCCACAGTGGTATGAGCTTTCGTAATTACTCATTATCGTCTTCAGGTCAGAGTTCTATCTTCCTAGGTGAATCACCAGTTCCAGTGGTTTTTTATATATATATTTGTTGTTGTTAGGAGGTTAAAAAAAAAAAAGTCACCTCAATCCAGGGTTTCTCAGGTACTGACCTGTTAACATGGTGAGCCAGATACCAGTACGTCGTAGGCTTTCGCGACATCCCCAGCCTCTGCCCGCCAGGTACCAGTAGCTCTTCCTGCCCCGAGTGTGACAACCAAAAATGTGTCTAGACGTTGACAAATGTCTTGGGTGGTGGAGAGCAAAATCACCCCAGTTGAGAACCACTGCCTTAGCCTAAGGTGTGAGGAGCAGAGGTTCGGAGGTACTTTGGGACCCCGATGTCTGACATTGGGTCTTCTCCTCCAGGGCAGCTCTGAAAAGTCTTTAGAAGGGCTCCAGGGCCATTTCCTGTTGGTAAATCCCCCCCACCTCACCTGGGGCTCTTGGGGTGTTTGGGAAGGTGATAAAACCCTTCCCCACGTAAAGAGATGTCACGGCCCAGTAAGGGGGAGGGGCTAAGGGAAAAACCCCAGAGAACAGCCCAAGCATTCATTTCACAGGCAGCCTCTGAGAGCCCTCTGTGCACCAGGCACCCCACCTGACTCATGGGGTTGAAGCTGGGAACAGGATGAGCTCCCCTCCTTCGGGAGCTTCCATTCCAGCACGGAGCAGACAGTCAAGGAGCCGAATGTAGCCCTCAGACATTGCTAGGTGCTAGGGAGGGAAGGGGGGCAGGGAGGTGGGGGTGCTGCTGGGATATGGTGGGCTCTCGGGGACCAGGGAGCTTCTCGGCCTTAGAAGACTTCCCTCGGGGCCTGAGGAGCAGGGGGAGATGGTGGGAGCTGCTTCTGGGCAGAATCTGAGAGCTGGCGCTCATCCCCATGTGGGCCCTGGGTGGACTGGGGGTGCCCCGCTCCCAAGGACAGATGGCCACAAGCAGTACCTGCTCCCAGAGTCCAACCTTGTCCCTCCGTGTGAGGATTTGACATAATTTAAAGGGTGTGGTGTTCTCCAGTGTGCAAAATGGGGGTGCAGGGGTTGCTTGACCTCCAACAGCTCTTCTTTTATTCTGGGCTTTGGTTAAGGCTGGGCCTAAGTATTTTAGACTTAGTAGGTTTGAGGGCCATTCATTTTTCCCCTAGGGGCCTTGACCTAAAAGGAAAGTTACGAATTGAGAGAGGCCCCGTCCAGAGGGCAGGGGTCTGAGACCCTCGGTTCGATTCCCCTCGCTGCCACAAGAGGGCAGCAGTGGACTCCGATCAGAGCTTTGTCCCAGGTAGTTTCGCAGGCACCAGCTGCCAGGAGAGGGCACCTTTCAAACGTGTTCTGGTGGCTTTGGACAATGGCAGCGGGGCCCAGAGTCCTAGCTGTGGGAGAGGTTTGGTTCTCCTTTGCATGAAGCAGCTCCAGGGGTGAGGTGCAAGGGAAGCCAAGGGCGACGCAATAGCAGGAAAGTTGACTGTCCCTGTCCAGGGCCCTGACCTCACTAGGACCTGAGTCTCTGGGCAGCTCCCAAGAAACAAGAACGTGAGCTGCAGGCTTCTTCCCCCAGAGTGGGCAAGGGGCCATTCTCTTTGGAGTGGTTTTTTTTTTTCCCTTCCTTCTACCTAGACCTGCAGAGCCTCTTCTTGGCTCTGGGCTGAGAGTGAGCTTGAGACATGTGTACTGAACCAGCTGGGCTGTATGTTTCGTGCGTGTTAAGAAAACAAAATTGTTTTTTTTAATTACTGAAGCAATATGTGCTCACTGTACCAAAACCAAACAATAGAGAAGGGAGTGTGTGTGCTTTCTAAGGGAGTTTCCTGGGCTTGGCAGGTTGTTCAGCCTTATAAAAGCACTCTCCCTCGCTGAGGGCTGTGGGTGTGTGTGAGCGTGTGGGGGGGTGCGCAGCTGCCAGCTAGGTGCTGACTTGAGAGGCAGCTAAAGCTGCCTGGGCAGCAGCCGGCTGTGGGGAACGGGCTCTGCCTTAGAAGGCCCGGCCTCCTGTGTGGTATGACCCCGTGAGGGGTGTCTTCAGTCAGCAGCA